AGAGTTGCCTTTTGAATGCTACCTCTGTGTTCTCTACAGGACCTAGTATGTGCTCAGCAAACATGCTGAATGAATGAATGATTGGATGAATATGAATGACTGCCTTGCCATGAAGTTTTTATAGAGAATAAAGTGCCTAGTAACTTAAGTGGGGATGGGGTTTTAAGTCCACCAAATCCCCATTCTTTGATAAGAAAAATTTTATTTTTCAAAATTATGCAAATGCGCATCCCCACTTCTGCCAGATTGGAAATCCCGAATCCCCTGGTTGTCATGGAGAGCACCTCGCCTTGGACGAGTGAATCCGTCAACAAACGTTTACTGCATCTAATAAAAAATCAGGCACTGTGCTGGTTTCAGCATTTTCATGCGGCCTCACATCGGCCTATCACAGAGCGAGACACACATCGCCAGATGAGCCCAGTGCTGCTGGCTTCCACAGAACAAAACACAATCTCAGGACAGGGGGACCCAGGCTGGGAGTGAGAGGAGGGAGGCCCTGGGACCCACGCGCTGAAGAATATTGTTAAAAAGAGGCAAACCTCTGATTCTATGCAGATGGTCTGATTGTTTACGCATGAACTATGAGATAGTCTACCAACAAACTTTTAGCGCTAGTAAGAAGTTCAACAAGGTTGCTCAAAACAAAATTAATATCCAAAAGAGTCAACATTCTTTATAGCAGCAATAATCAGGTTAGAAAATGCCATAGAAAAAAAGATCCCATTGCCCATAGCAACAAAAACTAACACATCTAATAAAAGACTGACACAACCTTTATTAAAAGGCAAAAAAGGCCAGAAGAAATAGAGAGATAGATGTCATTTCGATCAAAATCCCAACAGAGCTTTTCAATGAGAGGAGAGAGGGAGATAGGAGGGTCAAGAATAACAGAGTCAGTATTTGAAGAAGAAATTGAAGAGGAGGAGGAGGAGGAGGAGAGGGATCGCTATATAAGGCTCCAGTGATGGAAACTGCGGGTGGTGCAGAGGCAGACAAGTTAGCCAGAGGAAGAGGGAGAGACTCAGGGGCAGACTGAGAATCCAGGAGCTGGAATAAGCCGGAGGCAGCATGCCAAACAGGTGCACAAAGGGCTGCTGGTAAATGGGGTGGGACGATTGGTTCGCTTAGCACTTGGCAAAATCATTAAAATGTGGGTTTCTACCTCAAACTAGCCACGACATAAATTCCAGCCTAAATATGAAAGAGCAAAACTTAAAAACCTTTGAAAGAAACTAGAGGAGAAATCATTATAACAAAGTCAAGATACTAAAAAAAACACAAGTTGTAAGAGGAAACGACTGGTACATTTGACTCATTAAAATTTTCTGAAGGACAAGAGCCCTCATCATCAAAATAACAACAAACCCATGGAGTGGAATAAGACGGCTGCAGTGTCTGTAACTGACAAATGGTTACGTGCAGACGATGGAAAGAACATCTACAAATTACAGAGAAAAAGCTAACCCCGTAGAAAAAAACAGGAAAAGGTCACCAGCAGGCAAGTCACACAAGAGCAAACACGAGCGATCAATGAACACAGAGATGCTTAGCCTCACTAGTAACCAGGATATGCAGATTAGATAAAGTGAGACATCATTTGCATTCATTAAATTGAATTAATACTTTGCAGTCTGACAGCACCAAGGGCTGATGACATCGTGGGGAAATTAGTGGTTAAATTGGTACAACCACCTGGGAGAGTAATTAAGCCACGTCCGGCATGGTTAATGCGATGCATACCAGAGGGAAACATTCCAGGTGGGCATGGCCGACACAAACACGGACGCTCGGTGCGGTGCTGTTTAAAACGACAGAATGGCGGGAGGGACCCTGAGACAGTCCTCATGGAATATATCCTGGGAGAGGCCGAGAGCCTCAAAGGCGGTCAGGAGACCAAGTCCCGGCTCCTGGTGTGCTTCGAACTGGTGACCGATGTTACACACGTCACTGGTCCCTTTGAGTGGAGACTATCTCCCCCTACCCCAGGTCTGAGTTCAAATCCCACCTGCTCAGAGAGACCTCCCTGACCTCACTAGTGACACCACCAGCATCTGCAGAGCAGGTTAGAAGGTGAGCGTGGAGACGCTGGCCAAGCGGGGTTCAAACCCCAGCTGTAGCGAGCGCTGCCTGTGTGCCCGCAGGCGAGTTAGCTAAGCTGTCTGTGACTCAGTTCCCTCCCCTGTAAATGGAGACGATCATAGTTTCCCCTCAGAGGGCTGTTGTGAGGGCTGAATGAGTTGAGACCCGGAGGCCTGAGCACTGCCTGAAATAAGGAAGTGCTGGGTAGTAGGAAGCGCCGTGGCGGGGAGCGGGGGGTGGGGGGGGAGTGGGCTGGAGTGACGTGGCTCAGCGCGTGAACAGGCTGTGAGCGAGAAGCGCGCGCCCCCTGCATCTCACCCCTCCCTGGACTGCCCTCCCCATCCGGGCAGCACGCGGCCTAGCCCCGGTCCAGCCAGCTGCCCCTCTCCCGGCCCCGCTCCTCCCCCTGCTGCCCAGCCCGTCACAGCCTGGCCAGGTGGGTTCGGGGAACTGTTTATGGGGTTGATTGAAATGGGTTAATTCTGTAAAGTCCTTGAGTGCCAGAGGATGCAGCCATCTCTGATTCCCCCAGATGGTCATTTTAAGTGGAGACACGACACGAGGGGGCGGGCGCAGTGGCCCAGGTGAGCGACACAGACACCGGAAAGGGAGGAAATCTGAGGCAGGGATTCTGTGAACCCAGGTCAGGGAGAGGGGCGCCCCCTGCCCCGCTCCGGAGGCCTGTCCCGGGCCCATTGTGTGACTGAAGCACTAGCTGCCTCGTGCACAGGATTCTGTGTGAAGAAAGATCCAGGGCAGCGGCTCCCAACCTTTCTTTGGCCAGCCCCCCCCCCCCAAGCATCTCTAAACCCTGATGTCCCCCTGCCCCCGTGACATATAATTCTTATTATTCAAAAAGTGAACTCCTAGTCACGTGGAGGAGCATAAAAGGCCATCACTTGGTCTAAACAAGCTTCCAAAGAACAAGGCACCCATGAAAGAGAAAATAAAAGGACGAAAGGACAGTTGAAGTTCTGAGGAAGAAATCACTAAGAAATTGTTAAAAAATAATAATATCGTGAAATGATTTGGAAAACATAACAAATAAAGTTTCAAAACATATAATAGAAAACTGACATGCATAAATATGTCACAATATATATTTATATACTGTATATGAGGCCCCTAGAACCATAAGACATGTAAAACATTCACTGTTAATAACTCATTCTCGAATGCCCCCCTTAAAATCAAATTGCTCCCCTGTGGGGTGTGTGCCCCACGCTGGGAACCGCTGATCTAGAAGGATCCGGGCAGAGCCCTTAGCACTGGCTACAGGAGGGAGAGCGGATTGTGGCGAGTGTGGGGCGAAGGGTGGAGGTCAGTGGAGGATTTTTTTACTCTATCTACTTTTATTCCATATACTTTTACTCCATATACTTTGGCATTGCTTGAATTCTGTACAGTGAGAATTTGTTTATTGCACGTGAACTATTCAAAAGAAAAATTAACGTTGCCCAGAGAAGGTACTCAATGAAGGGCATTTATTATCCTTTAAAAAGAGACGAAGACCTCCTGCCCAGCACGCAGGATGGAGCCCGGGGCATCTCCTCCTCACACACCGGCCCCTCAGCCAGGCTCATGGGCTCCAGCTTCAAAGTGCATCCTGAATCCAGCCACCCAGGCGCTTCTCTCCGCCCTCCCCTCCCTCCGCCTGCCATGCTTCCTGTTCCCACCCTGGGAGCTGGGTACTGGTAGAAGCCCCGCTTCACAGGTGCAGACACTGAGGCACAGAGCATGCAGTGATTTCCCCAGGTCCACGTTGTGAAATGGCAGGGCTGGGTCCAACCCACAGGTGTGTGTGCCCTTAGCCGCCCCCACATCGCCTCCCTCACAGCCTCTGTGCCCCGCCTCTCGGGGAGGGATCAGAGCTTGTCCTCTGTCTCAGGCTGGAGGAGATCTGGTCCCTGCCGGCCTCTCAGCCTCCCCCACCCCTCACCCTCTCCTCCCCCACCCTCCAGCGCCACCAGCTCCCTGGCTGCTCCTCGCCTAGAACATTCTTTCCTGCCTGACCTTCGAATGGCTTCTTCTCTCAGTCTCTGCTTGAATGCCGCCTCCTCCAAGAGGGCCTCCCTGATCACTCTTTCTGAAATAGTCCCCACTTTATTCTCCAACCTCTTCCTGCCGTCATTTTATTCATGGATCTTGCGCTTCCTGTGGTGACACCAGGTTACTGTGTGGCTGTCTATCATGTGTCTCCTTCCCTAGAATTTCTGTTCCATGAGGACAGGGACTCTGTCCCTTGTGCCTGAGCAGAGCTGGGCACAGAGCAGGAGCTCAGTACACGAATCACTGCGCCCAGGGTCCCGTGTGGATGGGCTCTGGGCCTCCAGTGCCCGGTGGAGGTCTGCTGTCAGGGCTGCAGGGAGCGTGCCCCCCTGCACGGACGGGGCTTTCGCCCTGGGGTCAGCGATGTGGCCCATCCTTCTCTCTGGGCCCTGGACTGGCGGCGAAAGGTGAAATGAGAGCGTCCACACTCCTTCCCAGTTCCTCCCATCCTGCCTGCACCCACCGCAGCCCCCAGGCGCCCCCTCTCCTCACCTGGAAGGTGGCCTGGCCACCCATCCCCACCCAGGCGGTACAGACATGGGCCGTTCACACGTGCCAGGCAGGGACCCTTCCCCCACGTCTGACTGTGCCCCCTGTAAGTCCCCAGACCAGGATGTCAGGGGGGACCTCCTGCCTCAAACTGAGGGAGACGGGGCCTCACAGGTGAGAGCAGGAGCGAGAGAGAGAGATGGGGCCAAGCTCCTGTGGGTCAGAGACTGGCACCCGGCAGACTCCAGCCTCAAACATCACAGCCACCGCCAACCCACTCGACCCACCTCCTCCCCCTGTCTCCCAGGAGCTCTGACTTTTCTCCCCTAAGCATACCTTGGGGGACCCCCTCCCCGAAGCTCCGGGAGCTGAGGCCTTACCCATCTCAATGCCGCAGATGACCAGGGCGGCGATCACGGCACCCGCCGACGTCCCGGCGAAGCGATGGGCTGTCTCCAGCATCCGGGGGGCCAGGTCCCGCAGGGCGTCCACCGCCCCGGCCTGGTAGAAGGAGAGGAAGCCGCTGCCCGAGAAGGAGATGGAGTGAGGGGTGTCCGGGTCCCCCTTGAACACCTGTTCTTCCATCTCCTCGGCCTGGGGCTCCGGGTGGGGAGGAGGCACCCCTCAGCTGGCCTGTCCGAGCCCGAGCCGGGGCGGCCCTGCCGTGGGAACCGGCTGCCAAGCTTCCCTGCCGGCCCCGCGCCTGGAATGGGGCGGCTCTCGGGGCGGCGGGGCCCCCTGGGCGGTGTGCCTGGGCCTGCTGCCCTGCGCTGAGCCAGGACGGGGCGAAGGAGGCCCAGGTGTGAGCAGGTGCCCAGGCCCCCTGGTTTCATGGCGCGGCTACTTCATCTCCGGCAGAGTCCTGGCCTCTGCTCGGCTGGTGCGCCTGGGAGCCTGTCAGCTGCCAGGCAGGGCCGGGCCCACGGGGCGGGCACCGCTCAGCCCTGGCCCAGAAGGCTTGGCACCCTGAGTTGCAAAACTTCCGTGATGGTATCAGAGGGCCGCCCCCCCCAGGCTGCGAGGCCACGGGGCTGGGGCAGCCGAGGAATTCAACGCTGGCTCCCTCCCGGGACAGGCCCCTCCCACTGCAGCCTGGCAGCTGGCTCTGCTTTCGGGGGGGCAGGGGGGGCACTCCCACCACCCCTGCCCCCACCGTGACCCCCCCCCCGGCTGCTTTGCCAGACCCCCGTGGTGCATGGTATGTTGCTCACTTGTTTTCATTGTTCCTCTTACAAAGCTCCCTGTGCCTATTTGCTTGTTTGTCCCCCTGTGAGGCCTGGCTGCGGGCAGAACCCTGAAGGAAGACAAGCTGAGCTTCGGGCCCACCCATCGCCCCGCCATCCTCACCACCTCTTCTCTCCGGCCCTTCGCTGACCGCTGACCCTTTGCCACCCTCTCACCAAACCCAAACTTCATGCCATCTCCAAGGCGTCCGGGGAAAAAGTCCGCTGAAGCCGAGAACATTCTAAGTGTTGGGCTTGGACCCGCCTCTCCCCACTCTGGGATGAGAAGTTGGAGATGCGCCATTTGGCCCCAGGATGAACCGGGTGGGGGACAGACATGGCATCGGGACCAGGGCCGAGAGGTTTGAAGCCCAGGAAGTGGGGCCTGGGGCCAGGGGAGTGCGGGGGGGGGGGGGGGGCGCTGTTCACTCCCCTGGAGCCGTGCCCGCGGCTCTGGAGAGCAGATTCTTCCTCACAACCTGACATTTTCACAGCACCCCCCCCCCCCCCCGCCCGCCCCACGGGTCCCCAGACCCTCCAGAGGCAGGACCAGAATTAGAACTGAGACACCAACTACCCCGCCCCCAAGTGGCCAGTCCAGCTCTCGCTCCGTGGGGGTGTGACAGCCATGCCTCAGGTCCCGGGGGCCCCCAGCATCTCTGCGCCTCACTGACCCGATGGATTTCCACAGCGAGGGCAGCGCCCGGGGCTCAGGGAGCAAGGGGTTCCCTCACTTGGGTAGGTAGCTCCACGTATGGAACTGCCTCCTCTGGAAGGAGACTTTGGATTAAATGTGTGTATAAACAGAGAACACGTGTGTGCATGTGTGTGCGTGCATGTGTATGTGTGCACACATGTGTATGTGTGTGCGTGTGTGTATGTGTGTGTGTGTGTGTGTGTACACGCAGAGATTCAGGCTTGCTGCTGGGGGGAGGGGGAGCCCGTCAGCATTGGGCATCGCCCGGCCTCCTTCCTGGGAAAGCAGGTCAGCCCGCTGAGCACGGCACACCCCGCACCTCCGGGGCCTGGGGGACAGGACTGTGTGGAAGTGCCATCCTGAACTCAGACACTTCCGGTTTCTTGGGAACAAAACAGGCAAATGTGAAGCAACCAGAGAGCCAGGCAAGGCGGCCTGTGATCAGGCACCGAGCTGTGCGGCTGCGACTCCTGCCAGAAAGGCTGAGGGCGAGCAGCGTGGCTGGAGCCCCGGGAGCGCGTGGCAGGCTGCGGGCTGCGGGTCTGAAGGAGCCGAGGGGAAGGGGGTGGGTGCTGTGGCAGGGAGCACCAGCTCCTCACGGAGGGGGGGCGGGCAGGATGGGGGCGGTAACACGGGGTAGACGCAGGTTGGATCCCAGCCCTGCCATTCACAGGCAGTGCGACCTGTGTAACCGCTCTGGGCCTCAGTGTTCCTCATCTGTAGACGGGACAATAATGCCTACGCTGCGCAGCAGTTTAAAGGTTGCAGATGTGGCTGTAAAATGCCTGGCATGTGGGGTTTCTATTGTTATCCACGCGGAGAAGGGCAAGGCTTCCGGAAAGGTGGGCCAGGGTGCTGAGGTGGAACAGAGGGTGCCCTTGTGGACACTGGGGAGGGGCTGGGCGAGGTGGCAGTGGGAGAGCCCAGCAATGAGGCCGGCTGGAGGCTGGGGGAGGACCGTGCTGCATCCTCCCGGGAGGCGGCTGCCCGGCCAGGGCGGTGGCTGAGGAAGGCGGCAGTGAAGCCATTGCTGCTGAGACTGGCGGGTCTGGCTGGGCAGGATGAGCCCAGGAGACGCCTTGGGGGCTGGGAGGAGCAGGGCTGCCTTCTGCTGACTTGAGGAAACCGGATGGAGGGTGAGTGACTTGAAGACGAGTCGGAGAGGACAGCGAGACATGAGCCGGAACACCAGCCGCCTCCGGCTCGGGGCTCCCGCCAAAGGAGAAGGGTGAGTACGGGGTCTCTACCAGGGCTCCCTACAGGCCCAGACCAACCGGGCGTCAAGCCCCGGCAGTAGCTCGAGCGAGCGAGTGCGCCCTCTACTGGAGGGGTGAGGAAACCTCAGCCTCACGGGCCTGGTCCTGGGCGCTGGGTGAAATTACACTGCACTTTTCCGCAAGCTTCCCTCCCAGCGTCTGGTGCGAGAAACTGCTCAGGACTTCGAACCAGGTCTGCCTTCCAGGTCTGCAGCCGTTGGGGCTCTGCAGGAGGCAGGGCCCGTCTGGTTGGCCTTTGGGACGACCCAACCTGTGTGCTATCCACCCCAACGGGTAACAACTACGCCAAAGACACCCAGCTAGCACGCCAGGTCCGCAGAGCAGTGCTCCAGAATCCGCTGTGATGGGGACATTTCATTCTTTAAAAAGTGTATCTTTCTCACCGGGCTGGTGTGGCTCAGTGGTTGAGCGTCAACCTAGGAACCAAGAGGTCACGGTTCCGTTCCCAGTCAGGGCACATGCCCAGGTTGCAGGCTGGATCCCCAGCATGGGAGACGGCCAATCAATGGTTCTCTTTCATCATTGATGTTTCTATTGCTCTCTCTCCCTCTCTGAAATCAATTTTAAAATTTTTAAAAAAATATTTCTCTTGTTATTGGAAGCTCTGAACATTAAATATTTTTTCCATTGGGTCAAGAGGTACCTGAGTATATGATTGCAAGTGGAAAGTAGGGGACAGAAATCAGATATTGGCAGTTTTTCCATTTTCATTTGTGTGTGAATTTTTTAACATAAATGTGGGGACATGAAGCATTAATGCAAGTCAAACTGTTTCAGGAACAAGTTGCAGCGGTTCCACTTTATCACAATATAAATAAACCTGTTCGCCCTGACCGGTTTGGCTCAGTGGATAGAGTGTCAGGCCTGTGGACTCAAGGGTCCCAGGTTCGATTCTGGTCAAGGGCACGTACCTTGGTTGCGGGCACATCCCCAGTGGGAGGTGTGCAGGAGGCAGCTGAATTGATGGTTCTCTCTCATCGATGTTTCTGACTCTCTATCCCTCTCCTTTCCTCTCTGTAGAAAGTCAATAAAATATATTTTAAAAAAATAAATAAATAAACCTGGTCATTTTTTCTGGACAGTGCCAGCATTTGGAATGTTTTAAAAATAAATGTCTTACTGATGGCAGCCGCATGGTGTCTGTAGCATTCTCAGCACAGGGTAGAGTCCCCCACTCACTGTGCTCTCCAGCTGAGCTGTCCTGCAGGAAGGCATGCGGCCTTCATGTTGTCTGTCTTCCCTGCTGTTACTGAATGTTTGCTATTAAGATACAAAGACCAAAAAATAGACATTGGAGCTGGGAGGTGGGGGGAGGGGGGCTCCAGAGAGGGGCAGAGGCCCCTTACCCACTGGGGCTGCAAGAAGGGTAAGCAGCTGGAGGCTTCTAAGAAAGGCTTCCTCCGTGGTAAAAGGAGGAAGGAACATGAGGGGAGCCCCTTTTCCCCGCCACACTTTCTTCCTGACTGAGAGGCTGTTGGGTGAGACCCCGGTGCTGGGAGCTAGGGCGGCCATCTTGAGGGGAACACGGCAGACCCCGAGGCATTGGTTACTATGCTGTGCCACAAATTACCTAAACGCTCAGGCCTTAAAACAGCAAACATTTCTCATCGCACACAGCTTCTGTGGATTGGGACCCGGAAGTGGCTTAGCCGGGTAGTCCGGCTCGGGGTGTCTGACTCAGCAGGCAAGCTGGCAGCAAGGGTTGCAGACATGTCAAGGTCACTGGGGTGGAAGAAGCCACTTCCAGACACACTGTCGTCACTGTGGGTGGGCATCAGTGCTCAGCTGGCTGCGGACGCGAGCTTCAGTGCCTCCCCCTGCGGGCCGCAAGATGACAGCGTGTTTTTCCCAGAATAGGAGATGCGAGGGGGTGGGGGGTGGGGGAGGGGGGCGAGGGGCATAGAGAGAGGAACAAGAGACAGTGTGAACTCAGGGTGAAGCCAGAGTCTTTATATAACTGAATCTCAGAAGCAATGCCACCCCTCTGCCGCACCCACACCTCCCACATTTCACCAGGGCCAAGGCCACGCAGACCAGCCCTGGCAAGCGGTGGAGGGTGAATGCCAGAAGGTGGAGACCATCAAGGGCCAACTGGGAGAGTGGCTGCAAACTCCTGGAAGAGCGGGCCTGGGTCCTGGAGAGGTGGTTGAGCGGCCACACCAGGCCCCACACCATTTGTCCCCTCCTGCTGTATCAGCTCATCGAATGTCCTTGCTGTTTAAGCCGCTGTGCATTTGATATTTGCTGCTGAAGACCTCAGGGCTAATGCAAGGGCTATGAAATATTTCTAGGGATGTGTAGAAATATTGAGAGGAACAAATAAAATATGCCCTCTGCTTTTGGTAAAAACAAAAGAAGTACTTTAAGGTATAGAGAGCTTGTTATTATAGGTGAAGTAATTCTGATTCATGCAGATTCTGAAAAACTTAATCAGAAAAGTTGTATTAGACCTTTTAGAAATTGTTAAACAACTACTACTTCTGTTAGAAGAGAAAGAATATGTCTCTCTTTCTTATTCCTCCTGAGAAATAAAGCGGGGTCCTGCTATTAATTGAGCTAGCCTTTTGAGCTGTGCGACGTCATTTTTTAATTCTTGATCAGCATAAGGGCATATCCTCTGTGGGGTGCGAGCGTTCACCCCTTTCCTAAAAAGTCTGCAATTAAAAAAAGAATAAGACGGCTCTAGCTGGTTTGGCTCAGTGGATGGAGCGTTGACCTGT